GTGTGTGTGTGTGAGAGAGAGTGTGTGTGTGTGTGTGTGTGTGATTGAGTGTGAGAGAGTGTGTGTGTGTCTGAGTGTGTGTGTGTGTGTGTGTGTGTGCCTGAGGTTCAGTTCAGTCCTAAACAGATCGGGTCGTCTGCTGGGGTGGGGGGGTATGTTTACACAGCTGCGCTTCACTATAGTAGTGTGTGCGTGAGATAAAGCGAATCAGATGAAATAGAGCGTACAGATCCACGCTTAAATGAGGGCTCAAATTAATCTCGATCTTTCCGGTCACCGCGTTTGTCTTGTCGTTCAGGTTCACGGTCGGGATCTGACCCATCTGCAGAAGCGAGAGGCCTTCCGTATCCTGGCCAGCTACGAGCAGCCAATCACGCTTCAGATTGAGGGCCGGGGGCGGAGCCTGCAGTACAACAGGACGACGGACTGCAGCACGCAGACGGAGCGACCGTGGGACCCTCTCCGGCCGCACTCGTGCACCCTACCGCGACGGCCTCCCTCGGACAGGTGCGACACACCTGCAGCTCACCGCTGCCCCCTGCAGGACAAACACAGACGTGCACTTAAGAGGCCGTTCACACACGACAGTCTTTTAATACTTACTAAGGGCCAGATTTACTAAACAGAGCAAATTAACATTAAAACCCAGTTCCATAAAAGCACCAATGGTAGGGGAATGTTCTGTGTGTGATTTACTGACAATGCACACATTAAAGGGTTAGTTCACCCAAAAATTACCGCGCGTCTTTAGTAAATCTTGACGCTACTATTTTAACGCCAAAAGACGGTTTGCGCTGGCCCTAAAAATGCTATTCGTCTATTCATTTTATGAGCATTGCGTTTTTGAGATTCTATTAAGTCAAAATTAGTAACTTATTGCATTCGTTTAAATGCTGTTGCTAATTGAAATGAAGAGTGTGTTTTGTGTGAACGACTTTTTAGAGTGCTTGCGTAATTACGTCTAACGTGAGAGCAAACGCAGGCATTTTTCACATGAGTGTGCAAGGTTTCTGGCGTTCATTCCAAGAACCATAAAAACAATAACTATATTAGTGTTGTTGTCTGCAGCTTTAAATGCTTGAGCTGGATTCTGATTGGCTGTCAGTTGCTTTACCAATGACAGCGTAACTCTGTGTTATTGTTATAGTTGTGGTGTGGACTTCCCTGTTCTCACTGGATTTGAACGATTATTAAAACATAGCTATCGTTATAGTTATCGTCCTTGGTGCAAACTGGCTTTTATTCTGTTATAGTTATTTTTCCTGAACAAAAACTGTCCATTATGCTGCTTCAGCTAGTACTTGTTATCATATTATTTTCATAACCATAAGCAAGCTCATTTGTAACCCAAATAGTTTTACCATTTATTGCATGTTTTGTTATTCTTCTAGTTATTTACCTGATGAATCTGAACTCCGTAAACGATTTACTGAGCGAATGTGTGATTCAAAACAGGCTTGGCTGATTCGTTCAAACGAACTGATTCTCAAGAGCCAAAAACGCAAGGGTTTTTGAAAGTAACACTTGGTCATGTGACCAAAATTTGACCAGTGGGAATGTCCGAGGAGCATTTGCATTCACGCGCATGTGAATGCACACGCAAGCATATCATATCGTTTCATTGCATTTTACAGCTTCATGTGATGAACACACTGCAGAATTCATACAGCAAAGACGTTTGGACAAGAGAGATCCCTTCCTTTTTAGAAGGAAACATCAAGGATGCTGTGGCTCCAGACTAAAAACATGACTAGGGAGGCATTAGCTCCTAAAATGAATCATTTAGTTGCCAAATTAACTCTTTGCTGCCCAATTCAATAACTGAGAAGAAGTTTTGAGTGCAGAGTCTTACATTAGCTTAAGTCAATATTGTGCATTAGGGACATTTTAGACTAATAAGTGTTGTCCGTTCCAATTTGGTGTTGTTCCTACAGATATTTATGAGTGTTTGCTGTGTTCTCAGGACGTACTACACTCACTTGACCCTCCCCGGGACCCATAGAGACGGAAGCAGGTACGAGTACCTACCAAACACGCCCAGAGACCTGGAGCACAGAGGACGACGGGCCTGCAACGTGAGATATTAACATGATGAGTATCAGCTGTCAGTATTGCATGCGTAATATGCATGTAGTTATTGATGGCCAGTGGCTTTCATTATAATAACATACTGTGTATACCATATTTATAAAAACTACATCCATAATTAAATCAATTTTTAACATATTATACTTTTATTTCAGTATGATTGTATTTTTCAATGAAACTGAGCTGATTTATAACCGTATCGTTATGACACTTATATATCATTATAAATGTGCATTAATACGAATATGTTAGTCTACATTATTTTAATAGCTCAATAAAATGAGAAATGATTGGCATTTCTGCATAATCAGATTATGATTATTATCAGCTGTTAATGTTCATGACGAGATGATGTATACTAAAATGTATATATATATATATATAATTTTTAGCTACATAATATCATAATTAATAATAATATCAATACCTTTAGGTCATTTTTGTCCTGTCTAATTAATTTATATTAAAATAAATTTATAAAAAAAATATATTAATACAAAATAATACAATAATAAATAGAAATGACTAGCATTTCTTTTTATTACTATATTTGATTTATTTATGAATATATAATATTATAATGTCTTTTTAATGAAAATGATTGGATAATTAGTTTTATGCATGCAGATCATTTCAGGAATTTGATCTCTTTAAACCAGTCTGATTTGTGCCACATTTAAAATGATGTAAATAATGAAAAAAGAACTAAGGATCATCACTGTCAGGCACTTTTGTTTATGGTGTGATTGACATGAATATCAAAAATGTCTTTCCAAACCCTGATCATTCTGCAATGCCAATCTTAAATGAGTGTTTAAAGCAGTTGTTTCATCCTTCTTGTGTGTGTCGTGTTAGGAGATGCTAAACTGTGAGTGTGTGTGTGTGTGTGTGTGTCTGTGTGTGTATGTGTACGTGTGAGCTGTTCTCCAAACAAACGCGTTTTTCAAAATTGAGCTGCTCTCTTATGCTCTGGAATTATTCATGCATTTAGCTACGCTTGGGAACACACACTATGTGTACGTGTGAGCTGTTCTCCAAACAAACGCGTTTTTCAAAATGGAGCTGCTCTCTTATGCTCTGGAATTATTCATGCATTTAGCTACGCTTGGGAACACACACACACACACACATTTCACGTGTGCATTGCTTAGGAGGAAACAGCCTTTAATAAAGCGACTGAAGGAGAGACAGACAGACGTTTAAAATAATCACTCTTCTACATCACAGCCTCATTATGCTAATAATTCATCAGGAAAGCAGCGGAAATGCTCGCACGTTCTTCTCACAAGAGCAGAAAGGGTTTGAAATCACATCACCATCCATGATAATGACGCTCTTCTGGAGTGAACAGCAGTCCGGTTCTATGTTTAACGGTATTTTGTGCTCGTTTCAGGACCATGAGTTCTCCAGCGGCGCGTCTCCGGCACAGAACTGTCTGAGCGGATGCTGCAACAGCAACCTGGAGGAACCCAGAAGTTTCCAGAGTCAGGTGAGAGTCACAAAATACAGCCTGAATATATGACCAGGGCTTAAGGAATAATTGATGAAGAACATCACATGATGGGTAAAAACTGACTAATAAACATCAACATACTTGCCCAGTTGATTGAATACATTAAAAATTGCGAACAACTTTTGTATTACAAGTTTTCTTAAATTGTTCAAATATGCATTATCTAATTAAATGACTAAGTGCACAGAACAGAAATCCGAACTCTTGTTTGAACATGTTAAAGGTTTTTACAGAAGGAATTTTGGATTTCTATCGCTCTGTAAATCAGAAAATACTTCATCAACAGACTGAAAAAAACTAAAATTTTGACCATGTTTTAAGCAATAAAGCGTTGTATAAATCAGTATGAATTATATATTAACAAACCCTTCTATAAAACCTTTCAGAATATGGATATGAATAAAACCGTTAAGTTTGGTGTGTGTAAGCGCTGCTGAACTGGAGAAACAAACTATAAATATTGAGAAAATGGCCTTTAAAGATATGTTTAAATTAGATGCAACTATGTAAAGTGCAAAAATAGATAGAATATAGATCTGAATAAAACTGTAAAATTTGGTGTATGTAGAAGTGGAGAAACAAACTCATTTTGGGAAAATGGTTTTTAAAGATATTGAAATCTACTAATGCAAATAGATAAAGTGCAATAACATACTTAAATATTTTGGATGTTTTCTTTCCACTGAAACGACGTCTTGAAAATCCCAAAAGCCCAAAATTAACCAGTGCATGAAAAGGTTTCTTCCTTAAATAGTGTCTTGCCTTAAAAAAAAATGGTGTAGTGTAGTCAAAATGCAACCAATTAATGCAGACCGAATGAATCTAGAAGCTGAGTTCAGATCTGAGGGACTGTTGTTGTTCTGGTTCTCGTGTGATTCTCTTCATCCGTCACAGACCGAGAGGCGAGGAGTCACATATTATGTAAGTTATGTGTTACCAGGCAACTAGCGATCATAAATATGGCTGAAGACTGAGAGCCACCAGAGTGACTCTTGGGCTCCCATAGACGACCGTTCAATCGAATTTAAATGTAACATACCTACGTTTTTCTTTATTACTTGAGATGCGTTCACACTGAGAGTGATTTAATCTGGATTGTGGATTAATAGTCAGCGTTTCTACTCGACTGCAGTATCTAATGTATGCAATGCTATTGGCTGTCGCTGCTCATTTGCATATATAGTTAAGCTCTGTGCAATTTTGTTGCATCGTCAACGGACGCCTATGTCGCTTTAAATTAACTAAACTTTTCGTTGCACATTTCCGTCAGCCATTTAAAGGTACATCATTCTTTTAAAAATACCCCATAAACTTTCTCAAAGTTATAAATGCATGTATATTTAAACTGATAACTCCTGACTGGATGAACCACATATGAGTTTGCTGTTAAATATGCACAAACCTGTAACAGTATCAATAGTATTGAACCATTTAAAAACTGCCTAGCAACCACGCATTAAACATTTACATTTAGTCATTAAGCAGACGCTTTTATTCAAAGCGACTTACAAATGAAGCAATTAAAATCGCTTGTACGGTGGCTCTAAATTGTCAAAACACCTCTCAAAATGCTTGCTACGGATGTGGAAAATGCAGAAAATCGAACCCAATCAGAATTTTTTTATGACGGACGAAAGTTTCGGAGGCAGTGTGTAAACGTGATTGACACAGTGTGAGGTCGTATTTATTTTTTAACGTACGTGACTCAGTGTGCAATGACCTTTAGAGGGTGCTTTTGGATACAACATAACGCATAAAAACACACAAAGAGTCTTTTTACCCTGGTAAAATCACTGCAACTCGTTACTTTGAATGGCTTATTGCTCTAATGTCATAATATGTGTGTTTGTGTGTTTTCGACAGACTGATGACGATGACTACATGATGGAGAAACCCCTGGGTTACCTGCCTCTTCATCACGAGCTGGACAGCGGGCTCGGCTGGACGGACGGTAGCTTCCACCAGGGGGAGCTGTCGGGGGTGGAGACGGAGGAGGGGCTTGAGGAGCGCCACGGCGGGTCACCGTCATCTGAGTCATTCATCTCGTCTGAACTGAGCGACTCGGGTTTTTACAGCGTCAGCACCGGCGAGTTCCTGCGCTTCCAGCGTCTGCTCGAGAAACGCATGCGCCATTACAACGCCCGCATGCACCACCAGGGGGAGCCGTGCTCTCGCGAGCGGCGCGACAGCCAGATAAAACACCCCCTAGAGGCCATCCCAGAAACGCTGACGGTGCAGCCTCAAAACGTCTGCACGCCCATCCAGGGATCGCGGGTTTTGTCCGTGCAGTACCGTAAGGCGGAGCGTCCATGTTTGAACAGGCACAGCTCCAGCAGCGGCTCGCTGTTCAATCCCGCGCCTCATCCGAGTTCTGCGGGAATGCTGAGAAGAAGCAGGACGCTGCATCACGCGCCAATGGAGTACCGCAGACGGGCGAGTCACCCGGCCTCACCCAACTATTGCAGGGCCACGCTGCATCCCTGCGTCCACAGAGTCGACCTGCCCATGAATCTCCCTGAGGAGCCGGACTTGGCACTTATGCACGCTATTGCACACCCTGTTGTACACCCCACTGCACTCCCTACAAAGACTCTACACGCAATGAGTCAACCGTCCCTGATCTCTCCAGTTGACGAACACTGCTGCACGCCTCTGGATCTTCACGCCAACGGCAGGATCCGAGCATCCACCGAACCGCTGATAACTCCTGACTGGATGAACCACATATGAGTTTGCTGTTAAATATGCACAAACCTGTAACAGTATCAATAGTATTGAACCATTTAAAAACTGCCTAGCAACCACCCATTAAACATTTACATTTAGTCATTAAGCAGACGCTTTTATTCAAAGCGACTTACAAATGAAGCAATTAAAATCGCTTGTACGATGGCTCTAAATTGTCAAAACACCTCTCAAAATGCTTGCTACGGATGTGGAAAATGCAGAAAATCGAACCCAATCAGAATTTTTTTATGACGGACGAAAGTTTCGGAGGCAGTGTGTAAACGTGATTGACACAGTGTGAGGTCGTATTTATTTTTTAACGTACGTGACTCAGTGTGCAATGACCTTTAGAGGGTGCTTTTGGATACAACATAACGCATAAAAACACACAAAGAGTCTTTTTACCCTGGTAAAATCACTGCAACTCGTTACTTTGAATGGCTTATTGCTCTAATGTCATAATATGTGTGTTTGTGTGTTTTCGACAGACTGATGACGATGACTACATGATGGAGAAACCCCTGGGTTACCTGCCTCTTCATCACGAGCTGGACAGCGGGCTCGGCTGGACGGACGGTAGCTTCCACCAGGGGGAGCTGTCGGGGGTGGAGACGGAGGAGGGGCTTGAGGAGCGCCACGGCGGGTCACCGTCATCTGAGTCATTCATCTCGTCTGAACTGAGCGACTCGGGTTTTTACAGCGTCAGCACCGGCGAGTTCCTGCGCTTCCAGCGTCTGCTCGAGAAACGCATGCGCCATTACAACGCCCGCATGCACCACCAGGGGGAGCCGTGCTCTCGCGAGCGGCGCGACAGCCAGATAAAACACCCCCTAGAGGCCATCCCAGAAACGCTGACGGTGCAGCCTCAAAACGTCTGCACGCCCATCCAGGGATCGCGGGTTTTGTCCGTGCAGTACCGTAAGGCGGAGCGTCCATGTTTGAACAGGCACAGCTCCAGCAGCGGCTCGCTGTTCAATCCCGCGCCTCATCCGAGTTCTGCGGGAATGCTGAGAAGAAGCAGGATATTTTTTCTTCTTCTTTGAGCAGAAAATCAGGATTTTTCCCACCTGCACTATGTTTGGCGCACGAGCGCTGGAGTGTTTACAATTTTTCCTCACAACTGTGACTCTCTGCGGCTTTCTCGCGCTCGTTTCTGAGGTGAAATCACGTCATTTCCGCCGTGAGTCAAACGCTGTGAATAATGGATGTGAACGGATGGCACATTAACAGAAAAACTCTGCTCGTTTCCACTTTTAGAAATAATTTTCTTGGAATATGATGTACATGTGGTTGTAATAAAGATGAGATTTTAATTAGCTACTTAAAGAGTGTTGAGGTTTTTTGGGTAATGTTATTGAAGTGGGCGTTCCTAAGTGAAATATGTAACGACAACAAACGGTCTCTGAACGGAGCGCGTGAATTCCCGCGCTTAGTTTTCCCACACTTTGACCAACGGATTTCCTACCGTTCATGAATATTACATCATTTTATAGAGACTGCACTTTCAACATATACAGCATCTATGAATTCGTACTACAGCGATTTTAAAACCTGACATCGCGTAGTTTCCCTCAAGATTTGACAAATAGCCGTAGTTACGTTAATATTATTTCCAAATTTCATGAATGATTTCCGTCACGAGAGAGAAAAAGTCAAAATTATGACTTTAGTAATTACGACTTTAAACGTCCGAAATGACAAGTCTAAATAAGTAGAACACACAGTATGACACAAAGCCATTAATTTAAATGTCGAAATTGACATACTAAATCGAAATTACTTTAAATGTCGAATATATGACATACTATGAGGCAAATAGTCGAAATTATGGCTTTAAGTCTACATTATTAACTAAATTATATCCTGCTGAAAAAAAACTATAGACATCATCACAAAATTTGTAATGGTTTACTGGTTTTAATGGAAACTGTAATGGACCCTGCGGTAATTGGTCACCTTCTATTGGTGGCTTATTGTTCAAACCAATAAATCCTAATGAAATATGTTCCAAAACCCACTACAGAAAACCATTTTTAATGGTTTTAATGGAAACTGTAATGGACCCTGCGGTAATTGGTCACCTTCTATTGGTGGCTTATTGTTCAAACCAATAAATCCTAATGAAATATGTTCCAAAACACATTACAGAAAACCATTTTTAATGGTTTTAACGGAAACTGTAATGGACCCTGCGGTAACTGGTCACCTTCTATTGGTGGCTTATTGTTCAAACCAATAAATCCTAATGAAATATGTTCCAAAACCCACTACAGAAAACCATTTTTAATGGTTTTAATGGAAACTGTAATGGACCCTGCGGTAATTGGTCACCTTCTATTGGTGGCTTATTGTTCAAACCAATAAATCCTTATGAAATATGTCCCAAAACACACTACAAAAAACCATTTGTAATGGTTTTAATGGTTAAAAGGTGATGGTTTGGGATCGTATTTGTAGTGGAAACCATTAGAATTTGGTGTAAACATTTGAAATTGTGACATTAAAGTCAAAATGACTTTTACATACCTTTATATCATAATTAAAATATATCATTAAAAAAACAAAGGCAAACCTGACTTTGACTTTTTAAAATATCTTAATTATGACTTACTAAAGCATTATCTTCGTTCTTTCAAACTATTTTGAGACAATTAACAAATACCATGCGAGTAACTGTGATGTTTTGAGCCTCAAACTAGAGAGAATCTGAACTAAGAAAGTGGAGGTTCACTTACTTTCGTCTGATTTTCACTCTTGAGATGTTTGTGGATAAAACACAAAATGGAATCCAACCATAGAAAAGCACAAAATGGACCTGAATAAAAGAAAAAGGTCTTTCTCCCGCGCTCTTTCAGTCACGCTCTGCATCCATCTGCTGGAAGGAAACTGTCAGTGCATGAAACAAAATGGCGGCTGCTCGTCAGAAAAACACTCCTGAGTGGGTGGATTTATTCCAGATGTTCTTCATAACCCTGAAAACATTGTACCAAAACACATTTTACACATAGCAGCCACTCTCAAAAAACAAACTGGTTTAATAGGTATAAAAAAAAAACACAACCAGTCTCAGAAAAAAAGAAACAAACACAAAACAAATAAAAGACACGTGACTGAGTATACGACCCAACTAGTGCTTAAACACAGAGACAGATCCATCTACTCTAAACAAACAATACATGATTCCCTCTTCCTATCACTCTCTCTATGCAAGGAAACGGATCGGACGGGCTTCAAACTGTGGCGTCGTTGAGCTGTAATGTCCTTCTGTAATAATACAACACGAATACAGTCCATAGAGTCCATAAAAAAGAGCGACGTCGTTCATCCACACAGACAGGGGGCACCAGAGGCCTTCAGCTTCAGTCCAAACCCTGAACCTCGTGCTGCTTGTACACCGCCGAGACCAGATTTCCTGAAAGAACAGCATTCGTGTGGTTAAATTAAACTAACTAATATGTAAAATGAATATATTCGTGAATAAAAATCGTTAAATCGTAAAGTCCCAAAGAGCGAAGCGACAAAGCAATGCAAATCCGCACCAAAGCTAATTTCGATCCAATTTATGGCATAAATCGGCATATAATCGCAAGCGAATCATCATTCGCGTGCTTTAATGCAAGATACGAACAATGTGAAAACCACAGCTGGGAATCGTACGACTAAGCTACAATTATTAACTAATAAAAATAATTTTCGTTAATTAAAATAAAGCTAAAATAAAATTGTAATATTAGATGAAAAACTTAACTTAAATTAAAAATGGTGAAGTGAAATAAAATAAGTGTCTATTAGTAAAATTACGAAAACGAAAAGCTAAATAAGAAAATTACGAAAGCACAGAAAAAACAAACAAACCTGAAAGTATTTAAATATAATATAATTTAAATTAGGCTTGTGCGATACGGCCAAAAAAAACTATGTAAATAAAATGTTAAACCATGAAAAATGAACATTTAAATAAAATTAATAATAATTAAAATAAAACAAAAAATTACATTATTGTAACAATTAAAGTTAAATTTTTTTATTTTTTTTATTAATGTACAAAAATATTATTTTAAATAAAATTTTTAAAATTAAACTTTCAAAAATATAAATACATCATAAGAAATACTATAACGTAATATTAAAATAACACTGCTGCACAGTCGAATTCACAAACAAATGACTCTTTTGAACTGATTCTTTTAATGACTCGGTCAAAAAGACTCATGAATCATGCCGCTTTTATAAACATACGATTCGCTCATCTTGATTCATATTTGAATCTGAATCTTTTAACGATTTGCATTCAAAACTAATATTAGTAGTAATAAACGCAACGCTTAAAACTGAACTTTGCTTTTGTTTAGTATCTTGACTGAATTATTAGGCCGGTTTTAGTGCGCGAGTTTGGCTGCAGGGCATCATGGGAGTGATCGGGGAGGACTGCAGACCTGTAGCATTCGCTCGCACATCGAGGAGGTCAGAGCAGGAAGGACAGGAAGGCTAGCAGGAAGCAGCCAATCACAGCGGAGCTCTAGCCGCAGCGGACCCACAGGGGTCAAAGGTCGTCTTACCTGGCGTCCCCAGCCCCTCTGCTCTGTCCCGGTAGACTTTGGGTCTGAACGGAGAGTCTTTGTCTTTACCTTTCGATCCCTTGGGCCGCCCCGCCGCCTTCTTCTTGGACTTACTGTCGCCCTTCACACCCAGCAGCGGATGGACCTCTGCGAGACACGAACGCAGGCGTCAGAGGAAGTGATGTCATCAAAAATATCAATTTCAATAAAATTATGTATTAGCATTATAAAAAATCTAAATACATCAGAATCAATGAAATAACACTGCTGCACAGTCCAATTCACAAACATATGACTCTTTTGAACTGATTCTTTTAAGGACTCGGTCAAAAAGACTCATGAATCATGCCACTTTTAAATCATGATTATATATAAACTAGTGCCGTCTAGCGATTCATTTTTTTTACTAATTAATCGCACATTTTTTCTGAAATTAATCGCGATTAATCCCACCTAACGTTAAAGTTTTTCAATATAATTTTACACTGCAATAATTTCACTTTCAATCTTCAAATGAATGTAGAAACAACTTATAAATTAAATAAATTAAAGCTTAAAGCTACATAAGTCACCGATTTCCTTTTTGTATTTAGTTCTTTGATTAACAGACATCACAGCAGCTGGTAATTAGGATAGTTTGGCTGCTGTTACTTTAAGAGCTGCCGCTGCTGAACATGACGCGACACGGTTTTAAACGTGATGCATAAATAACAGATACTTACATGCACTGTGTTAAGGCAGATTTAATCGCCTTTTTGTAACTTCATGACTTAGCTGACGACATAACTACGACATTCTTTGCTCGTCGTTTGTTTCGTGCTTTTATATGAAAAGTCTGAAAAGTCGCCCATTTGATGTGGTCGTAAAGAAGTTCTACGTCTAAATAAACGCAATTATTTAGCAGTTGTGAATGCGGTGGCCAAACCTAGCTCCGCCCCTGCGTTAATTACGTTAAATATTTTTAACGCGTTAATTTTGACACCACTAATATAAACATATACGATTCGCTCAACTTGATTCATATTTGAATTTATATATTATTATATTATATCTATCATATGAGTAAGAAACAAAATAAAGGTAAGTGATAAGGCGCTTTATTTTTGGATAAACTATTTTATTCACAACATAATCTCTCTTAGAATACAGTATAGGGTTATGATAATCAAAACAGTCCTGAGCTAGATCAAGTTTTGATCTCTGCAAACCAAGCGATCACTTTAATTAAACGTTTTTTCCCCACTAATAAAAAGATTTGATCATTAGCTAGCTCCACACTGGAGAGCTGCTTTATTACAGAAAATCAAGTTGTAATTCTAAATGAACAGGAGACTGATTCTGGTTTTTCATGTTTAATGCTGTAAAGCTGCTTGATTTATTGCATAAAGTACTATATAAATAAACGTGACTGGACTTTACTGGAGCGCCGAACTGCAGAGCTCCTGCAAACATCCACATCACTGTAATCAGATGCTTTCTTAACTGCTGCTTTCTCACCGCTGTCAGTTTCTGTTGTGTTTATTTCATTATTTAGAGGAAAGCGCACAGCATATATTTACATATTCATCAAACGCCGCTCAGCAGCTTCAGGTCCGGCTGTGTTTGCGCTGAAGCGCTGTGTCTTCTTCTCTTGGATTGCATCAGGAGAGCTGAATTACAGTCTTGCGCTACAGCGCCACACTGGTCAAACCGCGTTATTGCAGGCTCTTACATTAGGTCATATGAGATCAAACGACTACTGGACAACAAAAATATGTGTCGACAATTTTTTATTGTTGACGTTGTCGATAATGTCGATAATCGTTAGGCCAGTTTTTCATCACTCCCTTACCATCGTTTGGGACGCCCTGCAGCTCGATGGTGGTGGTGCGAATCTTCTTCTTGGGTGGCCCTCCGTCGGACGACGGTTGCCGCTGTTTTTTGTCGCCGGGGCCGCTGTGGGCGGAGCCGTCATCGGGCGTGGCGTTCTGACCCGCGGCGTCGGGCGGAGGGCCAAACGGGTTCTCCTCAGGGTCCTCCACCTCCGGAGCGATGGGCAGATACAGCAGCGCTTTAAAGTCCTCCAGCTCCTCGTCACTGCGAACGCCGCGAAAAACACTCGATTAAATTTACTGAGAAAAAACAGCAACACTACTATACGACAAAACATAACGCAAAACAAATTTTTGGAATGTAAAAATAGACTGGATTATATAAGAACAAACAAAAACTAAATTAGCACAAACACATTTGGAGTGTAAGATAATTAAAAATAAAAATTTCAATTAAAATGTATATTTCGCGAAAAATAAACTGGTTTAAACGATACGAACCAACAAAAAAACGTCAAAATGAACACATGTGAAACGGTATGATAATATTAAAAAATAATGTAAATTATAGCAAATGAAATGAAAACTTTATATCGTGAACGTCAAAAACCTGATTAAACGATATACGAAAAAAATAACGAATACACATTTAAAACTGTGCGATTATAAATGATGTAAAATATAGTGAATTAAATTAAAAATTAAAATTTAAGATGTTGTTAATGTCAAAAACTTGATTAAATACGAACAAACAAAAACAACAAAAAATAAATAAACTCTTGCGCTAAGATAATAATTAAAAATGTAAAAATAAAAAATTTTGGCGACTTACATTTACATTTTCTTTTGTGAAAAATAAACTGGTTTAAAGGGGTGGTTGATTGTGATTTCACTTTTTCAACGTTAGTTAGCGTGTAATATTGCTGTTTGAGTGTAAACGATATCTGCAAAGTTACGACGCTGAAAGTTCAATGCAAACGGAGATATCGTCTTTTATAATTATGGCAGTTTAATGCCTACAGTTACGGCTCGCAGGAAGTACAACGAGCTACTTCCTGGGTTTGTGACATCACTAACCCTGATAAACCCCTCCAGCGTTTATAGGAGAAGGGACAGAGCGGTGTGGAATAAAGGTCAATTATGTGAAAAATAATGGGTTTTTTATAAAACGAAGCATGAACACATGTTAGACTGCAGCCCATAAACACAATCAAGCACAGAAAAAAACAGTCAACCACCCCTTTACACAATATGAACAAACAAAAACCGTCTAAACTTAAAAACGAACTAACACATGAAACTGTATGATGATATTAACAATAACGTCAAATAATTGGATTACATTTATTTTGCGATTATCGAAATTGTATTTAAAACCTGACTGAACAAACATAAACAAAACTAGAAAAAAAAGAAGAAAAACACATATGTGACTGTATGATATTAAAACGATGTGAAATTTAGCGCGACTGACCTGCTGCAGAACGCTGGGATGGGATCGACTGACGTGACGTCCACCTCCTCGTCCTCTGCAGCGTCCGCACCTGATACACACACACACACACACACATCAGTGTCACTTACAGCAGTGTGTGTGTGTGTGTGAGAGTGAGTGAGTGTGTGTGTGTGTGTGTGTGTGTGTGTGAGCGAGAGAGTGTGTGTGTGTGTGTGAGCGAGTGAGTGTGTGTGTGTGTGTGTGTGTGTGTGAGTGATCTCTGCAAACCAAGCGATCACTTTAATTAAACGTTTTTTCCCCACTAATAAAAAGATTTGATCATTAGCTAGCTCCACACTGGAGAGCTGCTTTATTACAGAAAATCAAGTTGTAATTCTAAATGAACAGGAGACTGATTCTGGTTTTTCATGTTTAATGCTGTAAAGCTGCTTGATTTATTGCATAAAGTACTATATAAATAAACGTGACTGGACTTTACTGGAGCGCCGAACTGCAGAGCTCCTGCAAACATCCACATCACTGTAATCAGATGCTTTCTTAACTGCTGCTTTCTCACCGCTGTCAGTTTCTGTTGTGTTTATTTCATTATTTAGAGGAAAGCGCACAGCATATATTTACATATTCATCAAACGCCGCTCAGCAGCTTCAGGTTCGGCTGTGTTTGCGCTGAAGTGCTGTCTTCTTCTCTTGGATTGCATCAGGAGAGCTGAATTACAGTCTTGCGCTACAGCGCCACACTGGTCAAACCGCGTTATTGCAGGCTCTTACATTAGGTCATATGAGATCAAACGACTACTGGACAACAAAAATATGTGTCGACAATTTTTTATTGTTGACGTTGTCGATAATGTCGATAATCGTTAGGCCAGTTTTTCATCACTCCCTTACCATCGTTTGGGACGCCCTGCAGCTCGATGGTGGTGGTGCGAATCTTCTTCTTGGGTGGCCCTCCGTCGGACGACGGTTGCCGCTGTTTTTTGTCGCCGGGGCCGCTGTGGGCGGAGCCGTCATCGGGCGTGGCGTTCTGACCCGCGGCGTCGGGCGGAGGGCCAAACGGGTTCTCCTCAGGGTCCTCCACCTCCGGAGCGATGGGCAGATACAGCAGCGCTTTAAAGTCCTCCAGCTCCTCGTCACTGCGAACGCCGTGAAAAACACTCGATTAAATTTACTGAGAAAAAACAGCAACACTACTATACGACAAAACATAACGCAAAACAAATTTTTGGAATGTAAAAATAGACTGGATTATATAAGAACAAACAAAAACTAAATTAGCACAAACACATTTGGAGTGTAAGATAATTAAAAATAAAAATTTCAATTAAAATGTATATTTCGCGAAAAATAAACTGGTTTAAACGATACGAACCAACAAAAAAATGTCAAAATGAACACATGTGAAATGGTATGATAATATTAAAAAATAATGTAAATTATAGCAAATGAAATGAAAACTTTATATCGTGAACGTCAAAAACCTGATTAAACGATATACGAAAAAAATAACGAATACACATTTAAAACTGCGATTATAAATGATGTAAAATATAGTGAATTAAATTAAAAATTAAAATTTAAGATGTTGTTAATGTCAAAAACTTGATTAAATACGAACAAACAAAAACAACAAAAAATAAATAAACTCTTGCGCTAAGATAATAATTAAAAATGTAAAAATAAAAAATTTTGGCGACTTACATTTACATTTTCTTTTGTGAAAAATAAACTGGTTTAAAGGGGTGGTTGATTGTGATTTCACTTTTTCAACGTTAGTTAGCGTGTAATATTGCTGTTTGAGTGTAAACGATATCTGCAAAGTTACGACGCTGAAAGTTCAATGCAAACGGAGATATCGTCTTTTATAATTATGGCAGTTTAATGCCTACAGTTACGGCTCGCAGGAAGTACAACGAGCTACTTCCTGGGTTTGTGACATCACTAACCCTGATAAACCCCTCCAGCGTTTATAGGAGAAGGGACAGAGCGGTGTGGAATAAAGGTCAATTATGTGAAAAATAATGGGTTTTTTATAAAACGAAGCATGAACACATGTTAGACTGCAGCCCATAAACACAATCAAGCACAGAAAAAAACAGTCAACCACCCCTTTACACAATATGAACAAACAAAAACCGTCTAAACTTAAAAACGAATTAACACATGAAACTGTATGATGATATTAAAAAGTGTATAATCTAGCGAATTAATTGAAAACTATTTTGCAAACGTCAAAAACCTGATCAAACGATACGAACAAACAAAAACGTAAAAACTAAAAAACTAACAAAAACATGTTTAAAAATGTAAAACGCACTTTTTGAATGTCAAAACAAACTAGATTAGACAATATAAGCAATGAAAAACATCAAGTCTAAAAAACAAATAACTAATACATATGAGAAACGCGATGATATTAAAAATAACGTAAAATAGTCAATTACATTTTTTATAATTTTGCAAATGTGAAAAACTTGATTAAACAATATGAGCAAACAAAAACAACAACAAAACACACTTAAATTTTTTTTTTAAATGTGCGACTTGCATTTAAATTTTATTTTGCGAAAAATAAACTGGTTTAAACAATATGAACAAACAAAAAACGCTGAAATGTCAAAAGTAGAAAATGATCAACAAAAACACATTTGTGACCATGATTTGAAAAATTATTTGAAATTTTGTGAATTACATTTAACTTTTTTTTTTTTTTTTGCGGATGTCACAATAAACTGGATTAAACAATGCGAAGAAACAAAAATGTCAAAACTAAAAAACAAACAACACTCGAAACTGTATGATGATATTAACAATAACGTCAAATAATTGGATTAAATTTATTTTGCGATTGTCAAAATTGTATTTAAAACCTGACTGAACAAACATAAACAAAACTAGAAAAAAAAGAAGAAAAACACATATGTGACTGTATGATATTAAAACGATGTGAAATTTAGCGCGACTGACCTGCTGCAGAACGCTGGGATGGGATCGACTGACGTGACGTCCACCTCCTCGTCCTCTGCAGCGTCCGCACCTGATACACACACACACACACATCAGTGTCACTTACAGCAGTGTGTGTGTGTGTGTGTGTGTGTGAGCGAGTGAGTGTGTGTGTTAAGATACAATTATAATAATATTATAATAAAAAACAGTGCTGTCAAACGATTAATCGCATCCAAAATAAAAGTTTTTGTTTACATAATGTGTGTGTACTGTGCATATTTATTATGTATATATAAATACACACACATACAGTATATATTTCAAAAATACTTACATGCATATATTTATATTCATATAATTTATATTATATATATAAATATATTTAATATATAAACAACTTATTTTTCTGAAATATATACATGCATGTGTGTGTATTTATATATACATAAAAATTTACAGTACACACACATATACTATGTAAACAAAAAAATTATTTTGGATGCAATTAATCGTTTGGCAGCACTAAAAAAACAAATAGTATGGCATCATTGTTTCTTATTTCTGCTAATATCTGATGTATTTCAATGATGCATAAAAAAAACAACCTTAAAAATATAATAATGTTTATATATTACAAAATAAAAAATAACAAAATAAATGATTAGTTTGGCATCATCATTTATTACCATTATATATATTTTAATAAGATTAATAAAAATAGTTTTAAAATTGCAATACGATTACAATCAAGAAATTATTTAGATTTTTCTTCTTGCAATTCTGAATTACCATATTATTTTCTATATAAAACTACAGTAAAACTAAAGCTGAAATAATAAAAAATGAATTAAAAAAATATAGATGTATTTAAAAAAAACAACGAAAACTAATAAAAATGACAAACACACACACACAAACGTTAAAATTAATTTAAAATAAAAACATGAACATAAAAACGAATGAAGAATATGAATCAAATCTCTAGTATATCAGTTAATGGCAGTAATATGAGAGCATACAGCGACGTCCAGCAGCAGCTCTCCTCGCGTCCCGTGGAGGATCTTCACCAGGTTCCCGATGCTCTTCTCCCAGATGTAGAGTGCATGCTGCCGCGCCGATCCTGCCACGATATACTCACCGTCACCGGAGAAACAGCAGCGCTTCCAGGGTGTCCTGCGTCACACACACACACACACACACATTTACTTAGCTATCTAAATGGGGACTCTCCATAGGTGTAATGGTTTTTATACTGTACAAACTGTATGTGCTATCACCCTACACAAACCCTACCCCTAAACCTACCCCTCACAGGAGACTTTCTGCTATTTTTACAATTTAAAAAAAACTTTGTTTATTTTTATACCAGTTTTACAAATGAGGAC